AGTAGGGCCCAAGCAAGGCAGGCTGAGGTTAGGCCAGTCCTGCCTGGAGTTTCCCTGACTCTCCATGTTCTTTGGACGCTCCTGTTCCACAGCAAGAGCTAAGGGGGTTGTGTTTTTAACTCTCAACTGGCCTTTCCTTTGGCTCAGAATGAAAATGGTCAGATCATTCCTACTTGACCTTTTCACCATGCATAGGTCCCCAAGAAGCTATAGCTTTGCTTGGGTCCATCTCAGCCGTGCACTGGGATCCCATTTCTCATCCTCTTCACTTAGTTCCCATTCATAAAAGAAAGAGGAAGCTTAACACCCAAGAATACTCCTTCCTTTGCCTTCCCCCTGTCCAGCCTACATCCAGAGCCCAGCCTCTCAGGGTCCTTTCCTCCTCCTCAGGCTCAGACCATGGCTGTAACTATTTTTGCCCAAAATAGTCCTGAGGTTCCCACTCAGGCCTGTGGCTACTTTATCAGCCCCTACACCCTTCAGAGACTGCAGCATTCCTTGTGCGCCATCTCCTTCCCATCCCTTTAAATTGGGCTTTCACGTCCTCTAATTTTTTTTTCCTTTATGAGCTTTCCTGTGTCCCCTCCATACTAGCTTCCTGGCCCCTTTCAGAACTCATAGGTTCTGTCTCTTTCCTCCACCTCTGTAGCTCCAGGAGCTGGTCTGCCATGTGATGATGGGTAACCTGGTTATGTTTCGAAAAGACTCAGTCCTCAACATACTCAGTAAGTGATCAGACCTTTAGGTACCTGGGAGAGGAGATGAGGGCAGGGTGTTAGTCCTGTGTATTTTACACTATCAGGAAAGCTGGCTGTGGGGCTGGGAAATCAAGGGGCCAGAACTGTGCTCCACCTCTGGTATGGTCGGGGACAGTGGTTCTATGGATCTGTCCTACCTCTGCACGATCCCTGCTTGGGGTGCTGGTAGTCAGTGGATTCACCGTGTGTGCGTGTATGTGTGTGTGTGTTTTCTTGACGGAGATGTTTCTTCTGTCTCTTCCAGTCCAGAGCCTAGACTGGGAGACGTTTGAGCAGTATTGTGCCTGGCAGCTCTTTCTGGCCCACAATATTCCCCTAGAGACCATAATCCCCATCCTACAGCATCTCAAATACAAGGGTGAGTCGATTTGTGGGTAGAGGGCACATCAGACATGACACTTCTGATTCAGCTAGGGCAAGGCATTGCTGTCCTTCCCACCAAAGTACACAAGATCAGGCTCCCTGTCGGCCACTTTTGTTCTTTAGATGAGTCCTGTCGGCCCCCCATGAGCCAGGCTCTGGGCTGGGGCTCAGGGACGGGCAGGAGTGGGGTAGGGGCTCTTCTTGGCTCCTCGTCAGCGACTGTCCTCATTCCCTTCATTGGCTCTTAGGGGATGAGAGAGGTCCTCAGATTCTATTCTGGAATTATACCTTCCCCTGAACAGCCTCTGCCCTTCCCTCATAGAGCACCCAGAGGCCCTGTCCTGCCTGCTGCTTCAACTCCGAAGAGAAAAGTGAGTTCCACCTCTGGTGCTCTTCAGCCCTCAGTCTCAACCTCCCAAGAGCCGCTGTGGTCTAAAGGGCTTCTGTCCTGCCCCTTTTGCCATATTTTTTCCTGTCGTTAACATCTGCTTATTCTGCCCGTCCCCCAATGTGACTTACTAATGAGCAGCTCCCCTGGGATCTGGGCTTCCTCTCGACTTTACTCCCCTGCCCACCAGGAGCTGCCCTCGGAGGTGGGGAGGTGGGGACCGGACATCCCTGTTTCCTGCTGCCACAGCAGTTCTAATCCCTGGTGGCTCCTGCTCCCTGCGCCTGCCTTCCCCTGCCCCCCGCCATCCCATGCTCCTGCAGGCCACTGCACAGCTAATCCAGGAGGAGGGAGGGTCAGGGTAGAGGGGTCATGCACCATCCTCTCCCTCACCCTATGCAGAGCAGAGCCAGCTGGACCCACTGTGTCTTGAAAGGGTAGGTCGGAGAAGGAGAGAGTGGCAGTCCCCTCTTCCCACACTGCTGCTTCAACAGCGTTCCCAATAAACGGGACAGCAGCTGTGTATCTTTTCTGCCTTCCTTCCACCCTTTCTCCTCTCTTGCCTGAGAGACTAGAAGTGGTACAGAGTGTCCTAGAGGAAGGGAGAGGCTGGGAGGCTGCGTGGGGCTGTGGCTTCACAGCCTTCTGCCCCCTTCCTCCAGCTGGACACCAGGTTGGCCCATAGCTCTAGCAAGGTAGGGGTAGGGGAGCATCTGGATGTCACATGCTTGTGCTTCTGCCTCCTGGGCCCACTCCCTGACTGTTCTGGTGGGGGGGGAGGGCGGGGGTTCTTCCCAACATACACGCACACACCTTCTCCTACCACAGCAAGTGAAGAATCTCACTTCTCCTCTCCTGGCTTCCACAGAGGATGAAACCAGGCATTCCTTGGCCTAAAGAGAAGAGGGAGAGGGATGTGAGAGTAGAGGGTGGGGAGGCCAGGGTTTTGGAAATCAGTGGGAGAGACCCAGCATGCCTGTGGCCACTGTGCAAGCAGCACCCAGGGCCCCCTTCCTCCCCCAGGCCCAGCGAGGAGATGGTGAAGATGGTGCTGAGTCGGCCTTGCCATCCTGACGACCAGTTTACCACCAGCATCCTGCGGCACTGGTGCATGAAGCATGACGAGCTGCTGGCCGAGCACATCAAGTCCCTGCTCATCAAGAACAACAGCCTCCCTCGCAAGAGACAGAGGTGGGACATGGTCCCTGTCCACCCTCCAGGCCAGGCAGTCTGCAGTGACTGCTGCCCTGTGGGGGCGGGGGGAGGGGACAGTGCTGTCCCAGCCCAGTTTGTAGGCGACATCTAGTGGTCCAAAGCCACATGGCATGTGAGACCACTGTGGCCCTTTCTCCCTCTTCCAATGCCCCTGTGGCCAGGATCTCATGTTCTAGGCACACCTCTCTCACCCAACCCCAGCCCTCCCAGCCCGCCTGTCCTGCTTCCCATGTAGGCTACATCTGTCTTAAGGGGGCCCTGGTGGGTGGAGGGTGTCTCGCATTCTGGAACCATCCCGCACTCAGACTCTGGCTCTGGTGATTCCTGCGCAGCCTGAGGAGCTCTAGCAGCAAGCTGGCCCAGCTGACTCTGGAGCAGATCCTGGAGCACTTGGACAACCTGCGGCTCAACCTGACCAACACCAAGCAGAACTGTATGCCTTCCACCCTTGGTGCTGCCCCAGCCCCAACCATGCCTAGAGCCAGGCTGGGGGAGGCAGGACACCCGGGGTCAAAACCCAAACTCTTGGGATAAAACCACCTTTGCGTGCAGTTTAATAAGTTCCCAGATATCTGATTGTTTTTCCTTCTCTGCTCTCCCTCTAGTTTTTAGCCAGACCCCAATTCTCCAGGCCCTACAGCATGTCCAGGCGAGCTGTGATGAAGCCCACAAGATGAAGTAAGGCTCCTGCCACTTCTGGCTTTGGAAAGTAGTGGGGGAAAAGCCTAAGGGACAGGAAGCCTGCTAGGGACATAAACGTAATGGCTAGCAAGACCTTAGGGTCCTGGGTTGAAGAAAAAGACTGGCCAGGTGCGGTGGCTCACACCTGTAATCCCAGCACTTTGGGAGGCCAAGGCGGGCAGATCACAAAGTCAGGAGATCGAGACCATCCTGGCCAACATGGTGAAACCCCATCTCTACTGAAAAATACAAAAAATTAGCCAGGTGTGGTGGCGGGCGCCTGTAGTCCCCACTATCCGGGAGGCTGAAGCTGGAGAATCGCTTCAACCCAGGAGGTGGAGATCGCAGTGAGCCGAGATCATGCCATTGCATTCCAGCCTGGTGACAGAGCAAGACTCAGTCTGAAGAAGAAGACAGACAGGCATAGGCCTGGGGCAGAGAGGAGGTTGGAGGTGTGGTGCAAGCAGCAGGCTCCCAGTCAGCTCTTGTTCCTCTCTCTCAGGTTCAGTGATCTCTTCTCCCTGGCGGAGGAGTATGAGGACTCTTCCACCAAGCCACCCAAGAGCCGGCGAAAAGCAGCTCTGTCCAGTCCTCGAAGTCGAAAGAATGCCACGCAGCCCCCCAATGCTGAAGAAGAGTCAGGCTCCAGCAGTGCATCGGTGAGAGCCCAGCCAGTGCGCAGCGGGTAAAGGAGACGGGGTGCAGGTGGAGTTGGCGCCAGCAGCTGCCCAGGCTGGTAACTTCCCGTTTCCCCTCCCAATCTCTTCCAGGAGGAGGAAGACACGAAACCGAAGCCTACCAAGCGGAAACGAAAAGGGTCCTCTGCCGTGGGTTCTGACAGTGACTGAGGCCCTGCGTTCCCCCGTCCCACCCCGAGCTGGACTGCCCTTGCCTCCTTGTTGAATCAAAGGTTAATAGAGGTTGGGGAGACTGCAGGGGAAACACCTTGCCCCATCCCCAGGCTCACCCAGTGGAAGGAGGAGCTGTCTCCTTTGAGTTTGAGAAGCTGCCATGCAGCCCCCAGCCCTTCCATCCTCCTGGGGCCTCCACTGCTGTTCCCAATTATATTTGGGTTGACTGAAGCCAGAGGCTCTGTAAAATCAGACCATAGTGGAATTCCTCAGCCCCCGAGCCCCTTCCCCAGTCTCCCAAAGAGCCATGTCAACAGAGAAGGGAAATGACAAAGGGGCATCTGGCCAGAGAGCAGACTCAGGGTGTGGGTGTCCCTTCCCGCTTCCACCTTTGGGTCTTGGTTTGTTCTGAAGAGGCGTTTTATAGTCACTCTCCACATGCCAGCGTGAGATGGGCATCTGTGACCTGGTCAGGCTGTCCATTCATAATCGTGGGGGAGATGCCGCAAGCATTCAGAAAGGAGTCTGAAAGAGTGGCCACAGCCCCACATGGTGTGCCCTGGAGGCTTAGGTTGGCCTGACATTGGTACCTCAAGCTACAGCCAGAGCCTGGGGAGTCTCGGAGGCAAGTTCCACAGAACTGTCAAATGATCCCATTTCCTTGAGTCTTTTTTTTTTTTTTTTTTTAGAGATAATCGTGTCTTAAAAGTCGTTTTTAAATGACAATAAAACAGGCCAGAATGTCTTTTGTGCTAGAGTGTTTGCTGGCTTTTGCTCCATGCATGTATAGCTGCTCTTGATTTGATTGGCACCCCAGTTGTAACCTCAGAACATCCCCCTTTCCCTTCCTGCTCTGCCCCCACTTCTTTCTAGAGCAGAAGGGACTTGGCTTTGACCCCTACCCATCCTTCTTGCTGCCACTGGAGGTGGGAGCCAGGCACTGACCTGTCTGGGCAGAACCATCCCTTGTAGGATGAGGCCTGTCCTTACTCATTTCTCAAGAAACTAGAAGCTTCCAAAAGCCTCATCATCCTCCGGTTGATGAAGTCTGTGTGCTTACCAGCCACCACCGGAGGACCCGCTGCTTGACAGGGGAGGGACGTTCCAGCTTGGTCTCCAGGAGCAACTGTACCTGGAGATCAAGTTCAGATACCAGGGAGGGATGGAGATGCTCTTCCACAGTCTGGCCACTCGCTGGGCCATGTGAACCAGCAGAGGAGGCTTCCTTGGCTATGCTATTGTTCCCTGCTGTCCAGGGAGAATGGAGGCGGACTGAGAGGAGTGAAGTTTGGGCAAACTGCACAGCCGCTTTTCAGCCTGAAAATTTGTTCTTTTTACAGAATCCAGGTTCTCCCCTCCCTCATCACTGCTGCTCCTTACTTTTCTTTGAAAGTCTAAACCACCAGAGGCCTCTTTTTCCTTCCTCTCTCCTTCCCCAGTTTCCTCTGCCCCAATTAAAAGCAGGATGGAGAACATTTGCTGGCTTGTCCCAATTATTGTACCCTTGCCCAAAGGGAGGGGCCTCTGTCGTGGCCCCTCAGAAAACTGGCAGTCTAGGTTTCTACCTTTCCCCTACGTTAACTCTCAGCCCCCCACCCATCGCCTGGGGTTGCAGCTGTCGGCTGGCAGGAGGGGATGGGTCTGCCTATCGTGCTGGGACTTGCAGAACCAAATGGGCCAGGGGCCAAGTTCTTCATTCTTTTTGGGGAGACCAATGGTACCTTCCCTTAACGGGAAAATGAGAAATATTGAGGGGAAGATGGACTGCGATCTAAACGCCCTAGCTCTCAGGCCTGGACTCCAGAGTTTAGCCAGATGCCTAAACCACCCAAGCCGAGAAAGAACTTAAGACAGATTGAGGGAAGGCGCGAGCACCGCCCAGGACTTGGTAGGGTGCGAGCCGAGAGCAGTCCAGGAGGGAGCGCGCCTAGGGCGGAGCGTAGGCTGTGGGGAGGGCCGGGAGTCCGGGGCCGCCCCACACCCGCACTCCTCCCGTGCCTCTGCTCTCCGCCCGTGGGGAGTGGTGGGGGCCTGGGTGGGAAGGGGCGTGTGCCAGCGCACGCGCGCTCCCGGGAAGAAGAGGTCTCAGCCTGAACGAGCGGCTCTAGGTTTTCGGGAGGGAGGACCAGGCATGTTTGTGAGCGGCTGGAACCAGACGGTGCCGACGGAGGAAGCGGGCTCCATGGCTGCCCTCCTGCTGCTGCCCCTGCTGCTGCTGCTACCGCTACTGCTGCTGAAGCTACACCTCTGGCCGCAGTTGCGCTGGCTCCCGGCGGACTTGGCCTTCGCGGTGCGCGCCCTGCGCTGCAAAAGGGCTCTTCGAGCTCGCGCCTTAGCCGCGGCTGCCGCCGACCCGGAAGGTCCCGAAGGGGGCTGCAGCCTGGCCTGGCGCCTCGCGGAACTGGCCCGGCAGCGCCCCACGCACACCTTTCTCATTCACGGCTCGAGGCGCTTTAGCTACTCGGAGGCGGAGCGCAAGAGTAACAGAGCTGCGCGCGCCTTCCTGCGTGCGCGAGGATGGGACTGGGGACCCGGCGGCGACAGCGGCGCGGGGAGCTCTGGAGAAGGCGAGCGGGCAGCGCCGGGAGCCGGAGATGCAGCGTCCGGAAGCGGCGCGGCGCTTGCTGGAGGGGACGGTGCGGCCAGAGGTGGAGGAGCCGCCGCCCCTCTGGCACCTGGAGCTACCGTGGCGCTGCTCCTACCCGCTGGCCCAGAGTTTCTGTGGCTCTGGTTCGGGCTGGCCAAGGCCGGCCTGCGCACGGCCTTTGTGCCCACCGCCCTGCGCCGGGGCCCCCTGCTGCACTGCCTCCGCAGCTGCGGCGCGCGCGCGCTGGTGCTGGCGCCAGGTAAGGTTGGAGCGCCGAACTGACTAAGGCGGGGCCAGCAGCAGAAGGGGGCGTGTCGGGGAGCGCCGAAGGGCTTGGTCTCATCCCTGGGCTAGGGAAGAAGCCGACTATCCCTTAGGGTTCGAAAGCGAGTGGAGGCAGAAGTCTCCGGTTTTGCGAAGGGATGAGGCGGAATCTTTGGTGCCCCAAGGATCCCCAAGGAGTCGAGTTACAGGCCTCAGACCCATGATGGAACGTCCATACCCTTTACCCTCACACAAGAGCAGTGTGGGCTGGGATGGGGAGGCGGCGCGGGGAGAAGGCGCGGGGAGAAGGCGTGGGTAATAGGCTCTTCTAGGTAGAGCCAGGGCCCTGGCGCTGTGCTTTCTCACCCTTCCAGAGTTTCTGGAGTCCCTGGAGCCGGACCTGCCCGCCCTGAGAACGATGGGGCTCCACCTGTGGGCTGCAGGCCCTGGAACCCACCCTGCTGGAATGAGCGATTTGCTGGCTGACATGTCCACTGAAGGGGATGGGCCAGTGCCAGGATACCTCTCTTCCCCACAGAGCATAACAGACACGTGCCTGTACATCTTCACTTCTGGCACCACGGGTGAGGGCCGGGCACCATGCTTACCTCCCGGTAACTAAAGCAGAGGAAGGGAGGGGTCTGGGAACAGGGACTGGGACCTCCCCAGCTCCCAGACCACTCCTTCAAAGCCCCCAGAGAGGATGCCGATTTCACTGGTACTTCCTTTTCGTCTCTCTCATTTCACTCTCCAGTCCCCTCACCTCCTCCTCGTTTCTCCACCTCCCCCAGACCACCCATATTTCCAATACAGCTTAGCCTCTGTCCTCAGCTTCTGTCCTGCCTCTGCCTTTCTTGGAAACCCAGTGGGGGTGCAAACAGAGGTAGAGCTTGGAGTCCACCCTTCCCCTGATCGCCCCACAACTGCCACCCCACAGGACTCCCCAAGGCTGCTCGGATCAGTCATCTGAAGATCCTGCAATGCCAGGGCTTCTACCAGTTGTGTGGCGTCCACCAGGAAGATGTGATCTACCTCGCCCTCCCGCTCTACCACATGTCTGGCTCCCTGCTGGGCATTGTGGGCTGCTTGGGCATTGGTCAGTTGCCCCCACCCCACCTTTATTCATTCATCCAGCAAATATTAAGTACCTACTATGGTGTGAGTCCTCCAGGGTGCAGAATCTAAAGGACAGATGGGGCAGAGCCCTATTCACCAGGAGCTCTGTACAATGGGGCAGTGTCACCTGCCTAGACCTACAGACTGTGGAACAAGGGGGGCCATATAGCCACATAACTCCAGACTTCAGGGTCAAAGGCAGAGGAGGACTGTCTCAGTCCAGAAACAGGCAAATAGAGAGAGACACGAGAAGGTGAGAGTGGGGAGGATGGGACCGTTGGGGCTGGGAAGTAGGGAAAGGGCATTAACCTCTTCCAAGGCTGGGGGCGGGCAGGGGGAGAGGGAAGAGGGCCAGCGCACCTTCCTAACAGTGTGACTCTCACAGCGGGCCCTTCCTAGGGAATGACTACAGTGAAGACTGGGGTCTGGAAAGAGGGGCCCAGACTCCCCACTCTGCTCTTAATCTTACCTCCTTCCTTCTTCACCCACTTCCCACTTCTGGCAGGGGCCACAGTGGTGCTGAAGTCCAAGTTCTCGGCTGGTCAGTTCTGGGAAGATTGCCAGCAGCACAGAGTGACAGTGTTCCAGTACATCGGGGAGTTGTGCCGGTACCTTGTCAATCAGCCCCCGGTGCGTACGCACAGATCCTGGGCAGAGCCACTGATAAAGGGCTAGCTCACCAGGAGCAGGACAGTTGACAGGAGACACTAAGACAGGGAGTTGGGGGAAGAAGTAGCAAGTAGAAAATGGCAGTGTAGGATAAGGAGCTGGAGATGGCCTAGGGCATCTGATGCTTACAGTATCTGAAGGAGGTTACAGTGGGGGGGCGGGGTTCTGGGGAATGGGGAACAGGAATTTACTTCGGGGAGCAGGCATCTTGGTGCTGAAGCTCCGGCCCCTCTCCCACTCATCTCAGAACAAGGCAGAGCACGGCCATAAGGTCCGGCTGGCAGTGGGCAGCGGGCTGCGCCCAGACACGTGGGAGCGTTTTGTGCGGCGCTTCGGGCCCCTGCAGGTGCTGGAGACATATGGACTGACAGAGGGCAACGTGGCTACCATCAACTACACAGGACAGCGGGGTGCTGTGGGGCGTGCCTCCTGGCTGTACAAGGTGAGGACACAGAGGAAACTGAACCTGTGCAACAGCAGAGGGCTGGCAGGAGAGGGGCTCATGCGACTGCAATGATCCAGTACCGGGGTCTCCCTTTCCCCAGCACATCTTCCCCTTCTCCTTGATTCGCTATGACGTCACCACAGGAGAGCCGATTCGGGATGCCCGGGGGCACTGTGTGGCCACATCTCCAGGTTGGTGGTGTTCCAGTGGGGTGGTCACGGTGCTGAAGCTGGCAGAGGAGGACTGGAATTAGAGATGGGTGGATGGGGGCAGGAGGTTCTGGGAAAGGTGACAGCACTCCTGACCCCAGTGACTCTGCCAGGTGAGCCAGGGCTGCTGGTGGCCCCGGTGAGCCAGCAGTCCCCATTCCTGGGCTATGCTGGCGGGCCAGAGCTGGCCCAGGGGAAGTTGCTAAAGGACGTCTTCCGGCCTGGGGATGTTTTCTTCAACACTGGGGACCTGCTGGTCTGCGATGACCAAGGCTTTCTCCGCTTCCATGATCGTACTGGAGACACCTTCAGGTATCTATCCATAACTGGTTCTTCATCCTGGACATCTGATCTCTGTGATCCAAAGCTCCTGAACCTCAACTCCCTAATCTGCCATCTCAACCTAGGTCCTCAGCTCATCTCTCATTCTCAGACCTCCTCACTGTTTCATCCCTGGGACAGTCTGGCACCTTGACCTCTGACCTTATCTCCCCACCAAGCCCATAGGTCCTGACCCCCCAACTCCCAGTTTTAGATCTCCGCTCTCTGACAGGTGGAAGGGGGAGAATGTGGCCACAACCGAGGTAGCAGAGGTCTTAGAGGCCTTGGATTTTCTTCAGGAGGTGAACGTCTATGGAGTCACTGTGCCAGGTGCCTAGGCATGGAAGGTGGGGGAGGCACCCAGCCACCACCCTGAATTGGTAATGCCTGGGCACAGGGAGCACAAGGCCTTCATGGTGGTCAGCCATGGAGGGGCTTACTCTGTCTCCCACACCCACCAGGGCATGAAGGCAGGGCTGGAATGGCAGCCCTGGTTCTGCGTCCCCCTCACTCTTTGGACCTTATGCAGCTCCACACTCATGTGTCTGAGAACCTGCCACCTTATGCCCGGCCCCGATTCCTCAGGCTCCAGGTAACTGGTCACTCCCAACCCCAGCCCCTCACCCCACGTGTCCTCACCCTACACATCCACCCTATATATCAACTTTGGGAGTCTGATGGCTCCCAAACTCTGCAAGAGACCCCCAATGTAACACACTCCATGAAGAGAAAAAACATGGAGACTCGCTCTTCACCCCACTTCTTTCCTTCTACCTGCCTTCTTCTGGCCTGGCCCATTCTCCTCCCTTTCACCTCCTCCCCTAAACCTTGACCTCACACCCCTTTTCCCCAGACCTGCTCCTTAACAAAATTCAGGCAACTCCCCTGAACCACCTGGGCAGAATCCCCTTCCCTCCAACTCGCTCTGACCCTTCCTCCTGTCCCAGGAGTCTTTGGCCACCACAGAGACCTTCAAACAGCAGAAAGTTCGGATGACAAATGAGGGCTTTGACCCCAGCACCCTGTCCGACCCACTGTATGTCCTGGACCAGGCTGTAGGTGCCTACCTGCCCCTCACACCTGTGCGGTACAGCGCGCTCCTGGCAGGGGACCTTCGAATCTGAGACCTTCCACACCTGAGGCACCTGAGGGAGGGACTCTGTAGGGTGGGGGCCGTTCGTTGCAGGTGCGCTGGGCTGTCAGGGACCTTTTCTATACTTCGGTCACTATTTTGTAATAAATGTGGCTGGAGCAGATCCAGCTGTCTTTCTGACCTACAGTATCTGTCTCTCTGTGGAACTGCTTTTTCCTCGAGAGTTTTCTCCTGGCATGGAGCCACAGGCCCTGTGTTCCTGCCCTGACTGGCCATGGGCCAGAGCCCAGTATCTGGACCTTGATGTTTTCCTCTCAGGTAACCCCAGGTGACCTTTGTCCTTGGAGAACCCCTGGTGACTGATGTTTGTGTTCCTGTGCAGCTCAGCCCAGTTTTACTCTCTGAGTGCCAGGCTCCCACTGTTTTGTCTTGGGAACTGAAGGAACCAAGGGGTCGGCCGGAAGGGCTAAGGTGGACAGAGGCACGCAGAAACACCAGTCCTGGCGGTCAACCCAAACTCCTCCCCCAGAATCAGGTGTGGCCGGGCCTGGGGAAGAGTCTTAACTAGCCCAGACAAGTGTTTGGCTGTAGGGGAAAGGATGCTCAAGATGCCCCTCGGCCTCACAGCTGTCTGAGAAGCCATTCTTGAGGGGGAAGAGTCGGGTGCCCCATCTCCAGATGTTCCTTCTCCTACCTGATGATTGTCAGACATTCCCAAAAGGAACAGTCCCTGGCGGCCCCTCAGGTCCTGGAGGAAAGTTTGACGGAAGCCCCTCCAAGGAGTGGGGCTCAGAGTACATGTGGTGGCAGGAGGGATGGTGAAAACCAAAAGGAAAAAGGCCTCTCAGCCCTAAAATGAGGTGTCAAGAAAGTTCATCATCTAAAAGCGTGAAATGATAGTGCCCCTGCTTCTCCTAAGAACTACAGTCCCCCTCTGTTTTGAGCTGTGAGTCCTTGAAATATTCTGCTACTTTGCCTTTCCCCTTCTCACCCCTCCCCGCAACATGAGAGGTCAGCGGACAGGCCCCACGGGCACATTTGGGTCTCTACTGCCAGCCCTCCTGTTCCAAAACTTCACAGCCTGCCACCTTCCACCAACAAGCCCAGTGCAGCCTCACCAACAGACGAGGTAAGGCACACACTGAGGTGCAGGGCACATCTTCACGCACACCCCAATAAAAGTGACTTCAGCTCATTCTGTGCGCCTCTCCCATCTGCCCCAGGAGGAGTGCAGTAGTGAGGTGTTCCTGGGGTAGGCATGTAGGCAGCCTGTTGGCTGGTAGTGGGGCACCTCCTGCAGCTGCTCCTCACACCTTAACCAAGCCAAGATCTCCCCTATCGTAGAACCTTGCACCAAGCTCTTTTCCACACACCTCCTATTTCATTTGCTCTAAATTTGCACTGTTGGATGTAGTAACTGCTAGCCACATGTGGCTACTGAGTGCTTGAAATGGGGCTCGTCTACAGTGAGACGTGGTACAACTATGTAGTACACGCCAGGTTTTCAAGATGTAATAACAAAAAATTCATTAATTGTTTTAGCAGCCAGGCACAGTGGCTCACACGTGTAATCCCAGCACTTTGGGAGGCCAAGGCAGGCAGATCACCTGAGGTCAGGAGTTCGAAACCAGCCTGGCCAACATGGTGAAAACGTCCCTACTAAAAATACAAAAATTGGCTGGGCATGGTGGCAGGCGCCCGTAATCTGAGCTACTCAGAAGGCAGAGGCACAAGAATCACTTACACCCAGTGAGCTGAGATCACGCCACTGCACTCCAGCCTGAGCGACAGAGTGAGACTCCATCTAAAAATAAAAAAATAATTATTGTTTTAGTCGGTGCAGTGGCTCATGCCTGTAATCTCAGCACCTTGGGAGGCGAAGGCAGGAGCACTGCTTGAGACCAGGAGTTGGAAGATCAGCATGGGCAGCACAGCAAGACCACATTGCTACAAAACAATTTTTAAAATTAGTAGGGCATGGTGGCACATGCGGGTAGTACCAGCTACTCCGGAAGCTGAGGTGGGAGGATCACTTGAGCCCAGGAGTTTGAGGCTACCGTGAGCCATGATTGTGCCACTGCACTCCAACCTGGGCAACAGAATAAGGCACTTTCTATAATAATAATAATAATAATAATAATAGTTTTATATGGCTTATATGTTTT